AGAATTACATTAAATTAATTACTTCTCCCAAGGTGGAGACGGTTTATGGAGAAGTTTAAATTAATAGATGACAGATAAATCCAATTGTGAAATCTAAGTCCAAAAGCCATAGCCAGTTCTCAAAAGAAGGCATTGCAAATTACAGAGTATCTCCAAACTCAAACCTCAAAAGCCAAACTGACCACTAAATCACTAGTTTCCAGAATTTTTAATTCAGGACATTGTAGATGGGCATTTTACACATAGATGTTATATTCTAGCATATATAGCCAGGGAATCAATAGTCCCTGTCAAACTTATGGCTAAATATATATTTTTTCCTACAACAATTTATAATATGAATGTTTTTGAGCATTCAAAAAAGTCCAGGAAGTTGCACTGTGGCTTGAGTGGTAGAACCCTCGCCTTGAGCTGAAGAGCTCAGGAACAGAGCCCAGGCCCAGAGTTCAAGCCCCACGACCAACAAAACAAAACAAATTAAAACGAAAAAATAACTCACAACAACAACACCAAGTCTAACCTAGCTGGGTATTAATGGCCCACACCTGTAATCCTAGCTACTTAGGAGTTTGAGAGCAGAGGATCAGAGTTCAAAGCCAACCCGGGGAAGGAAAGTCCATGAAACTCTTATCTCCAATTAACCACCCCAAAATGAGAAGTGGCACTGTGGCTCAAAGTGGTATATCACTAGCTTTGAGCAAAAAAGCTCAAGGATAGCACCCAGGCCCTTAAGTTCAAGCCCCACAAACAACCAAAAAAAGTCCAAATCAAGGCAAGACACTATACTGGTGTGACACAAATTAGGATGTAGAAGTCTCTTTTGTGAATGCTTCAGTTTTCAGGTTCTCAGGCCACTATAACTTAAAGGATTTAAGTTTTATATTCTTCAAAAAGAATTTTTTTATTGTGAAAATACCGTACAGAGGGGTTACAATTACATGGGCAAGGTAATGAGTATATTTCTTATCAAGCATTGTTGCCTCTTCCTTTGTTTCCCCTTCCCATCCCAAATTTCTCTTAACAATCAACCTAGGGAGTTACAGCTGTAAATTCATTTCAGATCAAAATGTGCTTTTGGATTTGGGGGAGGTTTTTTGGTGGCAGTACTGGAGATTGAACTCAGGCCCTTATGTTCTTGCCTGGCTTTTTTGCTTTAGGCTGGTGCTATACCACTTAAGCCACACCCTCACTTCCTGCTTTTTTGCTGGTCAACTGAAGAGTCCCCCCAGACTTTTTCTGCACTGGCTAGCTTCAGACCATGATCCCCAATCTCAGTCTCCTGAGTGTCTAAAATTATAGGGGTGAGCTACCAGCCTGCCTCAAAATGTGCTTTTGACACAAATACACTTGGAAGTATCTTTCTAATTTCTCTACTACTGCTTAAAAAGTCATAAAAGAGCTACAAGGATGCATTTGCAAGCAACAGACTAAGTTCACCCTACCACCACCTTGTAACTGAGACACATGAAGAGTTTCATGTGAAGATTCCAACAGGATAGAGAAAATAAAAAAAACCCTTATAGCTGTCACTACGTAAAACATGAAATTTTAAACGAAATGTCCTTGGTTTGAAAAAGAAGAAAAGGACAATTAAATTCATAGTCTGAATTCTTTTTTTGTCCTTAGTATATAACAATTGGCTTTTCCCCCTACGTGCCTTGACATTAACATTTTTCAGGAACCCTTGTAAGGGTCTGATTGAATGGTACAGGCAGAAACTGTAGTGAAGTAATGATCCGGCTAATAATCACCCACACCGATTTAAAAAATTACAGCAGAGCCACACCTTTGAAATCACATTATCGTATGTAAGTTTATTATTAATTACCTTACGATGCCAGAGGCTCTTCAGTTCTAACTGCTATTTTGGGAAGGGCTAGATTTTCCCTTTTTTGCCAACTGTATGATTGATATTTCAACATCATAATGGAGAAAAGAGGTTGTAGCCCAATAATTAATGGTTCTTGAGACATTCAATGAATCCTACTTGCCCTAAAACTGCCAAGTAATAGGACAGCAACTTCGTGTCCACAAGTCTCTTCTGGTCTTACAATGTCATCTCCCTGTGATTTGTGAGTCAGAAATGTTACCGAGACATTTTAATGTGTATTCAGAGCAGTCTCCCCCAGGGAAATTTGAGAGGCTCCCCCAATAGGCAGCTGACAATCATTTATCAAAATGTTAAGAAATACCATTGCTCTTGCACTGATTTCTTGCCGGCTCTTTCTTTTTGGATGAAGTTTAAAGCAACTGTCCAATTAAAATATCAAATGGCTTGAAACATTAACATTTTCACTTTCTAACCTTCCAAGTGCATCACATCAGCGTTGGCATTGAAAGTTCAGTTCAACGCAATCACCTGGGAAGTACCTCCTTCGTGCTAACCATACACGTACAAATAGTGATCACTCCTATTTCTGATACTTTGACATGATGAGGTGTGGTTGTCAGGCTCTTATTGGGTAATCATCAATAGTATCAGGCCAGTCCCTCATCTTGCCTCTCCTGTTTGGTTATTTTGTTTTGTTTTGTTTAATAGAGCTGAACCAAGAACTATTCACTTTGTGGTTAGTCCCTACAGATTAATAATACAAAGTAAGCACATCAGCTACAACTCAAGCTCCAACTATGTCTGAAGCTCAGTCTGTCTTGTCACTGTGATTCTGGGAATCTGGGATGTCAAAGAAGGCTGAGCTTCTATAAGGCCAATAGAAGGTGAAAAAAAAGAGAAAAAAAAAAGAAAATTACGGATTATTTCCCATGCTTATATATACCAAATGAATCTTTTTTAACCAAATATGTAGGTGTCTATCTATGCAGGTTATAAAATGATTTCTTTTTAAAGCAGGATTTATTACTTAACATTAATTTTGTGGTGTGCCCTGCTAATCAGGTATACACATCTAAGCTCATCTGGAGATTATTTTATTTTTTTAGTCTCATTTCTTTTTATTGAACCCAGGGCATTAAGCATGCTAGACAAGCACTCTACCATTAAGCCAAATCTCCAGACCCTACAGTTCATTTTAAATAACCAAACCTTGCCCTACTCTGGAGGATACAAATTTATTTAATCAATTAACTGATTAATTTCTAGGATAGAGATGCCTCCCAGTGTGACTGGAAAGAAAACACCAACACAGGAGAAAAGCAATAGAAAGCCCTTGAGACAAAATAAAACCAAGTGCTGAATTACATGAATTAAGAGCTGTACTAGTTCTAATTATAAAATTTTTTTAAGGGCTGTGAGAATTAACTCAAAACACACAATCATGATCAAACCTGTAGCACCAAGCCAGAGAGATCAGCAAAGGGGAGATGAAACCTGTAGTCACAACAAAGGCACTAAAACTTGGGGTATGTTTTTCCCCCATGGGGGGGGGGGAAAGTGAGTCAATTTTCAATCTCCAAACTAGCTTGACCAATTAGCAAATCACAGTGGTTCGAGAATCCTCATCGAACCCAACCAAAATGCCAACAGGCTCCTGAACAGCAAAGCCTCTGGAAAGCTACAGGCAGAGTTCACGGGCCCGCTGCCCTCACCTCTAAGTGACCACTCACCTCCACGCAGAGGGCACACAGGCCAAGAGTTCCATCTACCCCTCCCAGCTCCTGCCTGCTAACTTCTCTCAAGCTGAGTCAGCACCTCGGTCCCCAAGGGCCAGCTCCGGGGGGGCTCTGTCTCCTTGGGAATAGACACTTGAGCTGGGAGATGAGGGGAAGAACTCGCGTTCCTTCATGCAATAGAAGTTGGCCCACGGCAGTGAACACCAGCTTCGCCAGGAAAAGCCAGTGTCTTCGCCTTAGTGATTATAATCATGAGAAAGTCATTTCAGGAGGGAAGGCCAGAACTGCTTGGTCAGGATGAATCACTATCCTTCATTCACCTAAAACCCACCCACCCGAGGGAGAAAGCCCTGGCTCCCACACGCGGCCCGCACGTTCCCACTGACTTCTCTAAGGAGAGTGGGGCGCGGCTGGACACCACGTCCCCAAACACGGCTTGCTCTTGACATTCTCATTCCTCATCCATTGCCCTGTGAACATCCACTTCCCATCACTGGCACCCCGAGATAGCAAAATACTCAACCCAGAAAACTCGGAGATCTCATAACCCGACCACCAGCTCCGCAGAGCAGGGACTGAGCAGCGCCAGGCGCTGAGCCCTCCGCCCCTGTCAGGGTCTCCCCTTGTGGGGACACCACGGTGGCCGCCATCCATACTCTTTCCTTTCTGAATCCTCTGGGCACCACCCTCCCACATGCCCCAAAAAGTAACGTGGCAATTCCCCACTAAGGAAGGAGGCAGGCCGGGCCCCGGGCGGAGCAGGGCCCGCAGATGGCCGTCCAAGTCGAGGCCAGGTGGAGACGCGGCTGCCACCTTTAACAAGTGTCACCTCCACACTCCGTAGCCCTGGGCACCGTGGTACGCAGATCAATGGAGAAAACATTTAGATAGAAGCGGGGGGGGGGGGACGCTGCCAACACTCGTGTCGCCCCTTCCTCGCCCTGCCATTCCTACACTGGAGTCCAGCGGCCCTGCGCCTTGGGGCGCTTGGGGGAGAGCCTCGCGGGCCACTGAATTCCACCGCCGGCACCCCACTCGCGTCCTGGAAACGCCTGTGCGCCCATTCTGTTCAGACTATCACAGCCAGGCGCAGAAAGCAGTCGAAATCACGAAACCCTCCATGCTACCCCCTCCTCCAAAAGCCAAGCACCCGGAGCCTCGGGTCCTCCCAAGTGTCCTCCCAAGCTCTGGCGGCCTCCGCCCCGTGGCCGCCCAGGGGACGGGGCGTTCCGGAGGAGGAGGGGGCGCCTCTGGGGACTTGGGAGGTTCGAGGCCCGAGGCTCGGCGGGCTGGGGAGGCCGGGCGCCCCGCCCGCGGCGCTGGGGAGCCGCCCCGCGGTGACTTTCTCAATCGCTCGGGGGAGGGGAGGCGGGCTGCGGGGTGCGGTTAAAAGGCGCCCGCTGGCCCACACAGGTGTGGACGACCCGCAGCGCCCGGCGCGCTCCGCTGTCCCGGAATCGCAGGCCAGTCGGCGGCGCTCCAGCCCGCACCAGCCCCAGCCCGGGCCTCAGCCCCAGCGCAGTGCCAGCGCCCGGAGCCGCCGCCCGAGACCCCTCGCCAACCACCCAGCCCCGCCGTGCACGCCCTCCTGACGCAGGTGAGCCCCCCAGTCCGTGCGCCTAGGTCCCCGCGGTACGTCCATCGCCCGATCGCGTCACCGAAGCGACCGAGGCTGGGAGACTCGAGTGGGGAGGAACGATCAGACGCTGGGTGCCCGGCCGCACGGTCCCAAGGAACGCACGCCCGCACCCCACCCGCCCGACACGCCCCCGGGGCTAGACGAGGGGTCCCGGCGGCCAGCGCGGATTGCGAAGGAGAGCGCGTCTTTGGGCCCTGGAGTTCACAAGGAGCGCTGGGCCAGGGACGTGGAGGCACAACCCCTGAACTGGAAATGGGGGTGCGCGCACGCGCGGGCTGGAGAAACAAACGGGGTTCGGCCGGCCGGCGCAATGGAACCTGCCTGCCGCCTATATTCTTTTCGGGAAAATTCTCCCGCAGTCACCTCGATGCTTTATCTGCTGCCACCAAAAAAGTTTTAAATTAACCAAAAGTTTAGAAAGGAAACGGTTTCGCTGGTTGAGCAGAAGCGTCCCCGGGAGGAAAGCGACCTTTACCTCCTCGCGCTGCTTCTGCCAGGGGCGGGGGTGCTGCGATTACCTGAACTCACTTGGGTGGCCGACCTAGGTGGTGCCAGGGGCGGAGGGGAGGCCGGCTCGCTTCCATCTGGGCCAAGATCTGGGTTGTTTTGCTTTTTCCTGGGCACTTTGAAAAGAGTTGACTTCCAGCTGGAAGGAAAGCCGGTGCGCGCGCGCGCCGGACCCTTGCTTGCAGGTGTTGCCTGGCAGAGAAACGAGTTCCCCGGGACAATTGCATCAGCCCCTCCGGGCTCCTCGCTGGAGGCCGGGGAGCGGGGAGGGAGCGGGGAGGGTGCGGGGAGGGGGTGGGAAACAGCGCGATTCCCGAGCACGTTTTCCAGCTTCCCTAAGAAGCTGCACTTCAGAAGATGAGCTGGAATCTTTCTGGAAGGACCTTGGGTGGTGGGAGAGCAATACGTCCATTTACTCTCAGGACTCCGTTTTGAAACTATGTTGCTAAAGTCAGGCAAGGTTTCAGGCTTTTGTGATAAAGGTGGAGGGTTATGTGGGGGGGAGGACAGCTTCTGGAAGTGGCCCTCCAGTTGGCTAAGGGGTGGGTAAGTAAGGGTTATGGAGAATCCTTCTCATTTTCCGGAGTGGGGTGATTTGCCCGCGCCTTTCCTAAACAGCCAGCTCTTCAATCAGCTGGTGACCATGGTTCAAGCAATTACAGGTGGCCCCTGGACAGTAGGGGTCAAATCGCTTGTCTAGTCCATTACCCTGTCCCATTGAGACACCAAATTTTAATTTACTTTCTTCTGTTAGACTTTGAAAACAGGTAGTTGTACACAGGGCATCTTCTGGAGCCCTAGCCACTCTGGAGGCTGAGACAGGAGAATTGCTTGAGCCCCAGAGTATAAAGCCAGCCTGGAAAACACAGAAGACCCAGATTCAAAATTACAATAAGTATATGAAAACTAAAAGATAAAAATTAAAGATAAAAAACAGCCATAGAGCGCTTACTTGAAACTGTATTTTTTTTCAATTGGTGGTAATTGCGCTAGTCTGTGGAAGAGTGTGAAAACCTGTTTTTGAGTGTTCCGGGTTTTTTTGTTTTGTTTTGTTTTTTGGTCTGGTTGTGGGGCCTGAACTCTGGGCCTGGGCGCTGTCCCTCAGCTCTTCAGCTCAAGGCTAGCTAGCGCTCTACCACTTGAGCCACAGCACCACTTCCAGCTTTTTTCTTTTTGCTTATGTGGTGCTGAGGAATCGAACCCAGGGCCTCATGCATGCAAGGCAAGCGCTCTACCACTGAGCTAACTTCCTAGTCAATGTTCCGGTTGTTTTTTATGTGTTGGTACTGGGTCTTGAACTCAGGACCTTCTGTTCTGGTTTGGCTGTTTCACTCATGGTTGGCACTCTACCACTTGAGCCACTCTCCACTTCCAGCTGTTTTATTGATTCATTGGAGAGAAGAGTCTCTTTGATTTATTTGCCCTGGAATGCCTTTCAACCATGAGTGATCCTCAGATATCAGCTTCCTGAGCCGCTAGGATTACAGATGAGCCACCAGCACCCAGCTGAGAAACTGTGTTGGATGACTTAGAGAAGGCCAGAGAGGCATAGCTTCACCCTTCCTCCACCTATCAGTAACTTTTCCACTTTGTAAATGCCCAAGAAGAAGGAAAAGGTTTGATTCCATTAGATGGTTGCGTTAAAAGTCTGAATGCTGTTGTTTTCTATGGCTTTACTGTTGGGGACAGTACTAGAATTGGAGACCTTTCTCAGGACAACCAGTTCCCCTAAGGGCCTCCAGGATAGTCTGGATTTAAATGGGTCAGGGCTGAACCTGCTAAACCACTGTTTTTTCCAGTGGTGGTTTGAGTTTTCAAGCTGAATAGGGCTAAGGGAAGGAAGTTTGACTTAACTTCCCTGCACATGGCTTTTATGCCTCCTCTCCCCAAGGTGGCATTGAGTGGGTTTGGCTCACCCCTGCAGAGCCACTATAGGTAATGAAAGACCTCCGTCCCAAGCCTGCTCAGGAGTCCAGTGGCAAACAGGATACAACTTGCCTAAAAGGAGAAGAGCAGGATGCTTTAAGTAAGAGAAAGAGGATTCATTACAGCTTGGAAGGGGTGCGTAGCAGGTGACTCATCAGTACTTGGAGAGGGCGGGTCTTGTTTAGAAGAGGGGCTGATTGTGACAGACTGGTATAGCTATGAATCAGTGAGGACAGTTCAAACCCTGGCATGAAACAGAGGGCCACTGGCTCATGGAAGATCTTCCCCGGGCTTCCCTACACCCACTTCAAATAAGGACTTTGTGACTTGTTCAGCCAGTGTTGGTTCTGAGCCACAACCCTGAAGGTGCTTCATTGCGCCAGTAACTGGGAACCACTGGGCAGAATTTGTCATTTTTTTCAAAATAATTTGCCTCTGTTCTTTTTCCCATCTTGAATTTGAACTCAGGGCCTCAAGCTTCCACTTGGCTTTTTGACATTCTACCACTTAAGCCACACCTCCACTTCTGGCTTTTTGCTCATTAATTGGAAATAAGAGGCTCACAGGCTTTTCTGCTTGGACTGGCTTTGAACCACAGTCCTCTGTTCTCAGCCTCCTAAGTAGCTAAGATTCAGTGTGTCTTTTTTTTTTAAGGCTTATTGCCTAGATTCTAGGCTTATACACCTAGAATCCTAGCTACTCTAGAGACTGAGGTCTGAGAGTCTTGATTCAAAGCCAACCAAGGCAGGAAAATCCATGAGACTCTTATCTCCAATTAACCACCAGAAAACCAGAAGTAGAGCTCTAGCCTACCACTTAAGGACAGCACTGTGGCCCTAAGTTCAAGCCCCACAATCACCACCACCCCCACCACCAACAAAAAATGCTTCTAAGTTAAAACCATAGCCTACAATAATAATTCTCAATTACAGCACTTACAACAGATACTGTAAATGCTAACTAGTCAATAAAAAACACACCACTGAGACTTCAAACTCACATATAAAACCCATGACCTTCCTCCACAGGAAAATGGTAGGTCCAGTCTGCAACTTTCATACAGGGGAAGGAAACAAAGCCTTTGTGAAATCTTAACTAGAAGAGTCAAACTCATGTAACCATTGGCAATAACCATTTCATGGCTATATTCTCAGCCTGTAATCCCAGCATTCTGGAGACGAAGACAGAAAGGTTGTGAATTTGAAGCCCTCCAAAAGAAAAGAAAGGAAGGAAGGAAAAAAGAAAAGAAGGAAGGAAGGAGGGAAGGAAGGAAAAAAGCTGGGTGGTGGTGGCTCATGCCTGTGATCCTAGCTACTCAGGAGGCTGAGAGCTAAGGATCCCTGTTAGAAGACAGAAAAGTTCATGAGACCTTTATTTCCAAAAAATAGGGAAGTGGAGGTGTAACTCAAGTAGTAAAGTACCAGCCTTGAGCAAGAAAGCCAAACAAGGGCATGAGGTCCTGAGTTCAAGTCCCAGTATATTAAAAAATTAATTGAATAACAATAAAATTATATTTTAAAAATTAATTGAGATTTTAAGAGTCTCTGCTGAGAGACTTGATACAACATTGTTACAAATTATATCACCTGGAGCTTGGCTTCTTAGGGCAGTCCCAACAACAGTGTAAAATTTGTTTTATACTGAGCTCTAACTGAGTAAAACCAAGAGGAGTTGGGAAAAACCAAGAGGACTCAGTGACTTTGATCAAGATTCATTCATGGGCTGGGGATGTAGCATAGTGGTAGAGTGCTTGCCTAGCATGCATGAAGCCCTGGGTTCAATTCCTCAGTACCACATAAAGAGAAAAAGCCAGAAGTGGTGCTGTGCCTCAAAGTAGTAGAGTGCTAGCCTTGAGCAAAAAGAAGTTCAGGAACAGTGCCCAGGACTTGAGTTCAGTCCCCAGGACTGGCAAAAAACAAACAAACAAACAAAAGAAAAAGAGAGAGAGAGAGAGAGAGAGTATTCATGCTTTTAAGTTAACAAGAATTTTGCTATGGTGCACTCCTGAACCCTACATTTTTCTTAAGATTAGGTGGACTAGCCATGAGCCAGTGGCTCACATTTGTAATCCTAGCTGCTCAGGATCTAAATCTGAGGATCCCAGTTTGAAGCCAGCTTGGGCGGAAAAGTCCATGAGACTCTTATCTCCAGTTAGCCACCAAAAAGCCAGAGTGGAGGTATGGCACTACTGGTAGAGCACCAGCCTTGAGCAGAAAAAGCAAAGCAAGAGCACAGAAGCCCTGAGTATAAGCCCAAGCACAGGTGTACACACACACACACACACACACACACACACAGATTGGGTGTAAGACTCAGGTGAACAAGCTAATCTTTATTAAAATACACAGGTAGTTTGGGTAGTAAGTTAAATTGGTTTTATTTTTTGCTATTTCAAGGAGTTGTATCAGTGTTTGCTCAGGAAGAGGTTTAAGAGTACTTATTCACCTAGACCCAGAGAAATTCCCCAACTTCTGTCTAGACCAATGATTCCTATGTTATGTTCATTTGTCTTTTTCAGTGTCCACCGCTCAGAAGGTAGAATGGATTGGGGCGCGCTACAGACCATCCTAGGGGGTGTCAATAAGCACTCCACTAGTATTGGGAAGATCTGGCTCACAGTCCTCTTCATTTTCCGTATCATGATCCTTGTGGTAGCCGCAAAGGAAGTGTGGGGAGATGAGCAAGCCGATTTTATCTGCAATACCCTCCAGCCTGGCTGCAAAAATGTCTGCTACGACCATCACTTTCCCATCTCTCACATCCGACTGTGGGCCCTGCAGCTGATCTTCGTGTCCACGCCAGCACTTCTGGTGGCCATGCATGTGGCTTACCGGAGACACGAGAAGAAAAGGAAGTTTATAAAGGGAGAGATAAAGAATGAATATAAGGACATTGAAGAGATCAAAACCCAGAAGGTCCGCATCGAAGGGTCCCTGTGGTGGACCTATACGAGTAGTGTCTTCTTCCGGGTCATTTTTGAAGCTGTCTTCATGTATGTCTTCTACGTCATGTACAATGGCTTCTTTATGCAACGTCTGGTGAAATGTAATGCCTGGCCGTGTCCCAATACGGTGGATTGCTTTATCTCCAGACCCACAGAAAAGACTGTGTTTACTATATTCATGATTTCAGTGTCAGGAATTTGCATTCTGCTAAATATCACAGAATTATGTTATTTGTTCATTAGATATTGTTCAGGAAAGTCCAGAAGGCCAGTCTAAATGTTTTGCCAGGCTCTTGGCTAAAAGATCACATGAAAAGATGAGGGAACTTGGGCCTGGCTGTCAGAGCTCAGTCACCAGCATTTCCCAAGACAAAGATTCTCATCTTAAATGCAACCATTTTGAAGTCCCGAGGACCTCACATGAATCGCCAGATGTCTCCATGGGGCTCCCTTCCACAAAACTCCAAAACAAAGGCCTCATTCTAAGCCTATATTAGTCTCTACTCAAGTTAGTTCCACCAACCCCCTGTGCTGGTGGGGGTTATTCCTGTAAGATACTTGCATATTTTAAGACCTTAGCCTTTGTTCTCTCTGTCTCCTCCCCCACTTCCCCGCTTTCTCTAAGAGAGAAAGGCTTTGGTACTAAAGAGGATGCTGAGAAAGTTCAAGTGCCTCCTTTGAGCTCCCTTCACCAAGTTTCTACCATGCAAACCTAGAGAATTGATGTTTCTTTTATTTGCTTTGAAAGTTGTAATCTGTAACAATGGACCTAATGCTTTAAGCTCTGTTGTATTTTTTTAAGGAAAACTTTAAAATAGATTCTTTTAATCACAAGGTGTTCTAGAAACTTTTATACATTATTCCTATTTCAAAGGCTCAGATTGTGATATGTAAATAATGTATCATTAGATCTTCTATCTTAATATAAAAGATGACACCTTGGTTATGAGAATTACCACCATGCTTGAAAGGCAGCCCACTGTATTAATTGTGGTATGTGGTATGCAAAGTATTACAACCTCTCAAATGAGACAAACCAGAAGTTCTTTATGATAGCTTATGGTAGCATATGACTTCACTTCAATATTTTTGACTTAGGCCAGGAGTCCATGTCTAACTCTTATAATCCTAGCTACTCAGAAGGCTGGGCCCTGAGGAACACAGTCCAAAGCCAGCCCAGGCAGAAAAATTGATGACACTCTTTTCTTTTTTTTTTTTGCTAGTCTTGGGGCCTGGACTCTGTCCCTGAGTCTCTCTGTGCTTAAGGCTAACACTCTACCACTTGAGCCACAGCACCACTTCCAACCTTTTCTGTTTATGTGGTTCTGAGGAATCTAACCCAGGGCTTCATCATGCTAGGCAAGTATTCTACCACTAAGCCACATTCCTAGCCCCTCAACACTCTTATTTCAACTAACAAGTGGAGATGTGGCTCAAGTGGTAGTGAACCAGCCTTGAGGAAAAAAAGCTAAAGAACAATGCCCCAGTATGGGCAACCCCCCCAAAAAAAAATTAGGTGTCATGCTTCATTAGAAATAGATTGGCTATACCACCAACTGCCATCTATAAGCCAGTCCTGGGGCTTGAACTCAGGGCCTGGTTGGTGGTATATTCATACCCTGTAGTATGTGATCACACATCAACACACTGATTTAAATGGGTTGCTTGAGAATCTGAATGTCATTGTTCAATTTAATGGTTGGGAACAAATTGGGATGGGTCAAGGGATTTCCTATTTTCAAAGAACTCATGGAAAGATAGATTCTGAATTCTGTTAATTAAAAATTAAGCTTTGTGGTTTTTTCTGCTTTGAATGATTCTTGGCTTCCCTCATCAGCATCCAATTATACTGGAACTAAAACTAATAGACATTTTTATTTGCATTTTTATTGTTAAAGATGGTATACAGTGGGGTTACTGATAGCTTGCTCCTGTAATCCTGAGATCTGAGGATTGTAGGTTGAAGCCAGCTCAGGCAGAAGATTCCATGAGACTCTTGTCTCCAATTAACTAGCAAAATGCCTGAAGTAAAACAGTGGCACAAGCAGTAGAGCAAAAGATCGGCACTAAAAAAAATTTTTTTTTCAAAAGTAGAGTTTAGATCAACAGCAGCTGCAGGAAAGCAGAACCTTAATATTACTATCATGCTTAGGGTAGTTTCTAAAACATGGTGCTCAACAAACTTCACTGTATGAATGAACATGTTCCTGGCCACAAATAGCACTGCACAGTCATTTTGTAAATAAATCACGGCTTTAATTGCATGCTGGTCACTTTTATAAAATCTCAAATATCATTTAAAATATGGCGGACTCATTTTTAAATTATTTTTGTGTGTGTGCCAGTCTTAGACTTAAACTCAGAACCTCAGAATCTGGCTTAGCTTTTTTGTTCAAGGCCGGCAGCTTTTTGCTGCTTGATTGATGATGAGTCTTTCAGATTTGTTTGCCTGGGTTGGCTTTTGAATGGAGATCTTCAGATTTCAGCTTCTTTTAGTAGCATGAGCCACTGGCACTCAGCTAAAAGTCCAATTTTTGTTTTGTTTTGCTTTTTTTGGTCAGTCATGGTGCTTTAACTCTGGGCCTAGGTGCTGTTCCTGAGCTCTTCAGCTCAAGGGTAGTACTCTACCATTTGAGTCACAGCACCACTTCCTCCAATGTTTTTGGTTTTTCTGGGGTTTTTTGCCAGTCCTGGGGCTTGAACTCAGGGCCTAGGCACTGCCCTGAGCTTCTTTTGCTCAAGGTAGTACTGTACATCTTGAGCCATAGCACCACTTCCGTCTTTATCTGTTTATGTGCTACTGAGGGCTTCATGCATGCTAGGCAAGCACTCTACCAGTAAGCCACATTCCCAGTTCCAATGTATTTTTAATAGCAGATCTTAAAATCCTCTACTGTGTTTTGTGTGTGCATATGTGTGTATATACCCATATTTTATATTTTGTCACTCCTTATGGCTACCTAAACAGGTTATCTATCCACTATTTTGAAATTCTTTTTCTACCTTAGTTAAAGTTTCTGTGATTAAAACAATTGATAGAGACAAAATAATAAAATGTTATTTCCTCCCAAATCCATACCATAAATAGTTTTAAAAGAGCACCATCCTAAAAACAACATGTTGTGTAGATTGGAATGTTTTTCACAAAATGTAAGTTAGAGCTACATAGTCAGTTGGAGTTGGAGTCCAAGATGAATCACCGAAACTGATACTTTTAAACATTCTTAGATTGGGTGCCGGTGGTACTCAGGAGGCTGAGATCTAAGGATTACAGTTCAAAGCTAACCTGGGAAGCAAAGTCTATGAGATTCTTATCTCCAGTTACTGAGGGAAAAGCCAAAAGTGGTGATGTGGCTCCGGCTGGGAATGTGGCTTAGTGGTAGAGTGATTGCCTAGCATGCATGAAGTCCTGGGTTCGATTCCTCAGTACCATATAAACAGAAAAAGCCGGGAGTGGTGCTGTGGCTCAAATGGTAGAGTGCTAGCCTTGAGCATAGAGAAGCTCAGGCCCTGAGTTTAAGCCCAGAACTGGCAGAAGAAGAAGAAGAAGGAGGAGGAGGAGGAGAAGAGAGAGAGATGGCTCAAGTGGTAGAGGGTCAGCCTTGAACAAAGTGAGAATATAAGGCCCTGGTTGGAGCCCTTGTACCAGCACAATAAAATTTAATTAATTAATTAAAATGTTCTTGGGCTGGGAGTGTAGGTCATTGGCAGAATATTTGTTAGCCACACACAAGACCCTAAGTTTGGTCCCAACCATACTGCAAAATAAAAGGTTCTTCCTATTTAATTTTTTTAAAGTCTTTCATGGTGAAAGACTGGCTGGTACATGACAAAAATCCTATGTGGTGTCTTTCCCATGGGACTTCTTTGTGTATCTTTGTATGTAACCAAGGCTAAATTCAGGAGACACAAGTGCTCAGAGTCTAGGATACAGACCCGTCAGGTCAACCTGTGGTCTGAGTGATGGCTTACACTCTGCTCTTTCCTGGATGCTACCCTGAAACGAACTGAAACAGAATTAAAAGAAAAATAGCCCACTCCTCCAGAAAATATAGAAGAGCTACCTAGTCTCTATCGATTTTCTAAGGTGGCCCTACACATCATCTGTTAAAAAAAATAACAGCTTGTTACATAGCTAGGTTTACTCCTACGAACCAAGAAGATTATCACTTTCAAGGTATTAAAAAGACAAGACCAAAGTAATTACAGACTACCCACAACCACTTCATACAACTGATAGAACAGTCTGGTTGCAAGCTGAAAATTAGAGCTTCAGGTCTGGAAATGACTGTCCTGAAGCAGCAATTGGCAGTTTGTAGAAGGAAGCACAGACCTGTTGGGAAGGTCTCCTGCCTACTGAACAGAATGAAGACGGGGAAGGCATTTACTAACTAACCCAGAAGCCTGGTATCAAACACCTGTTAAACGATAGCCAACACCAGTGGATCAGATCCACTTGGAGAATTAATGGAATGTCCTACAGGGGCCCTGTTCCTCCGGTGCCCCTGGTCACTAAAGAACCTACAGCAAGTTTTGAGAGGGTCAAGGTGAATAGATAGGAGACCCCTTGCTTATCCCAATCTCAGTTTCCTATCCTTTAATATCGTTGCTAAATTGTTCCCAAGCTTGGGGCAATCCAATGAGGTAATTTACGTACAAGTTCTCCACCTAGGACAACACTAAAGCTATTATTAGGGCCTGTTTCTGCTCAATAAATTCAAGCTGGGAAGATGGTGGATGACATCTTTAATAACGATGACTTCAGCAAACCTCAAGCAAATGACTAGGAGACTGAGAAACTGCATGTTAATATAAAGTCTGAAAAAAGCCTAAGATAGGAAGGAGAGAGCTACCACATCAGCTAAGGAAGAATGGCTGAGTGTAAACTCAGAAGCAGAAAGAAGAGATGACAGCTATGTTCCTCATAATTCAGGGAATCCATGGGGGGGGGAGTAGGGGGGGAAGGGGTGGCGTACATCAGTGGTAAAGCATTTGCCTAACATGCACAAGGCCTTGAGTTCTATACTCAACACCACAATAAAGAAATAAGTAAGTGAAAAAGAACAAGAAAAAAAGGACTGTAATAAAGAAAGTTATATATTTGTGTGGTTAGGATCTACTCTACATAACACAGATTATACCAAGTCCTTCACAGCTCTTGCATATGTTAACCTTTACAACAAGAATAGAAACTACTGGGCTGAAGCTGGATGTAGTGGTACACACTATAATCCCAGCACTCAGGAAGATCATGAGGTTCAAAGCTAGCCTGAGAGGCACAAGTAGACCCTGTCCCAAGAATTGGAGGCAGGACTCAAGGGGTAGAGTACCTGCCTAGTCCTGAAATTAAATCCCAGTAACATGGAAAGGAAGAGAAAGAGGGAAGAGGAGGAAGGAAGGAAGGAAGGAAGGAGGGAGGGAGGGCCAGAAGAGAGGAAGGGAGGGAGGGATGGAGAGGGAGAGAGAGAAGAAAGAAAGAAAGAGAGAAAGAAAGAAAGGAAGGAAGAGAAAGAAAGAAGGAAGGAAAGAAAGAAAAAAAGAAATACAGAAAAGAAAGGAAAGAAAGAAAGAAGGAGTAGTTGGGAGGAAGGGCTAGTAGGGGAAAAACAAAGGAGGAGGCAATAATGCTCAATAGGAAATGTATTCATTACCTTATTCATGTAACTAACCCCTCTGTACAATATTTTTACAATAAAAAAACATATTTTTAAAAAAGAAAGAAGGAAGAAAGGAAGGAAAGAAAGAAAAAGAAAGAAAGGGGGAAAGGAGCGAGAAAGGGAGGGATGGAGGGAGGAAGGGAGGGAAGGAAGCGAGAAAAAAGAAAAGCAAAAGAATGAGTAGGCTGCTGTCAGCCTTCTCCTATAAAGCAGCTGTAGAAGGCAGAGTTCGGGAGATTTCAAGCTCAAAGGCCAACAGCAGCTGCTCCTACCACCCATGGAATGTGGGGCTTGCACTTCTAGGATCCTGTAGCTTGTAATTTCATTCCCATTCTGATTTCTTTCCTCAACCAGTATTTATGGAGCACCAACAATTACTAGGCTCCAGCAACTATTACCCAACAGGGCCTGAGCTGTGAACCAGACAATATTTTAGCCTTTATATTATAGGGGGCTATCGGCGAATACCACAAGAGGAAGCTACCATAAATTGGGTAGATTTTCTTTTTGCTTATATGGTGCTGAGGA